GTTGTTTTGGTCTTGAGTTGTTTTGTCCTGAGTTGTTTTGTTCAAAGTTATTAAAGTCAGATTTGTATTGTCTGAGTTGTTTTGGCCTAGCACCGTTTCCGGTGCCCATCGTAAACAACTCGGTCCAGAACAACTCCGGTCAAAACAACTCGCCCTAAATAACTCCGGTCAAAACAACTACTGTCCAAAACGACTCCGTTCCAAAATAACTCCGGACGAAACAACTCCCGACAAAAACAACTCCGGACAAAATTACTCCTGACATAATAACTCTATCCCAAAATAATTTTAAAAGGGCGCAACACAATTACAAGCTTATGTGTAGGTATAATGTCAAACAAACATACACAACAACCTTGTTAAAAGGGCGCAACACAATTACAAGCTTCTGTGTTGGTATAATGTTGAATTAACACACACAACAACCTTGTTAAAAGGGCGCAACACAATTACAAGCTTATGTGTTGGTATTATGTCAAATAAATACACACAGGAACCTTGTTAAAAGGGCGCAACACAATTACAAGCTTCTGTGTTGGTATAATGTCGAATAAACACACACAGCAACCTTGTTAAAAGGGCGCAACACAATTACAAGCTTATGTGTTGGTATATTATCAAATAAACACACACAACAACCTTGTTAAAAGGGCGCAACACAATTACATGCTTATGTGTTGGTATAATGTCGAATAAACACACATAGCAACCTTGTTAAAAGGGCGCAACACAATTACAAGCTTCTGTGTTGGTATAATGTCGAATAAACACACACAGCAACCTTGTTAAAAGGGCGCAACACAATTACAAGCTTATGTGTTGATATAATGTCAAATAAACACACACAACAATCTTGTTAAAAGGGCGCAACACAATTACATGCTTCTGTGTTGGTATAATGTCGAATAAACACACACAACAACCTTGTTGATGATGATGATTATATTGATGATGATGATGATCATGATGATGTGTTTTTTTAATAAATATATTCATGCTAATCGATTCATGTTCATTGTATACGTTATAAGTTGAAATTATCACTGTGTTTGTGCTCTGAGTTGTTTCGTCCGGAGTTGTTTTGGTCTTGAGTTGTTTTGTCCGGAGTTGTTTTGGTGTTGAGTTGTTTTGTCCCGAGTTGTTTTGTCCGGAGTTATTAAAGTCAGGGTTGTATTGTCTGAGTTGTTTTGACCTAGCACCGTAAAATACCGTATTGTACTTCACGGCAGTTTTCAAACCACTCATATTCAAAGTGTATTTTATACAATTAAATAAATCGAAATATTAAATAAATTTACTAAAACAGTCATTTCGGAGTTAGTTCGGGAACCTCTACTTACAACTCTAGCAGTCGTATCATCTTAATCTCCAGCTCTAGTTGTTGTACTGGTAACTTTCAAACCCAAGAGGTAACCGGGATGTAACAATAAAAACAAACGCAATAGTTAGATTTCTATGAAATCTACTAACAAAGTTTGTGAACTTTAAGAACCTATTATTTAAAATTAATCATCGTTCCAGTTTAATTATAAAACGTGTACAATAATCTAATAGATTATAATCTATCTAGTAGCAGTGCATTTTTTCTGAAGTTTTTCGTTGTTTAGAAGAAAATTTATGAACCGATAATAGTTAGGATAACTCTGAACTATAGATCTCTCACACAAATAACAAATCTTGATACGAAATTTTGTTCAACAAGAGCATAAACCACTCTTTTGTGGGCCGGTATTTTTTATAATCATTTATTTCCTAGTAGAACGTTTTTTTCAAAATTTCCATCTGTTGAAAAGAAATTCATCAATCTGCAATTGCTTTGCTGTCGAGTGCGCCTAAACTAGTGGGTCTCTCGATGAGCACAATAAAAGAAAATAACACGAAGCGATTTCAAGATAGGAAACTTACTCCCATTTCAGCTGCCAAACGAAACTTTTTCAAATTTGAAAGATTTTTTACATTGGGCTTGCATGGCTCGACTACTCTAAATATACAATAGATTAATTATCATGTTGAATGGATTATTTCAGAGCTATGTTGTTGACCAGTGAAGAACCAATATGGGGCCCTGGTGATTCTGAAAGTATACAATTAAAGCGAGATGAAGATCTCTATAAGCAAGAGATGGTGAGATTGGAAAATGATCTAACGTAAGTCATTTTTGTTTTTTAATTAGCCTCACTTCTTGACAAATAATTTAAATACTGCATTAAAATATAAATCTTATTTTTAGTGAATTAGAAAGTACTGTTGAAGATTTACGAGGCAGTGTCATTAATAGAAAAACTCGTGTTAACATGTGTGATGTAGAAAACATGGCCTTGATCTTAAGTAAATCTAGGTAAGTGAAAGGATTTTTTTCTTTTTTTAATTTAAACACAACAGACGCCAACAACAGATTCACTTTGTACAGTGATTTGTTGTTAAATTATTTTCTCTTTATTTAGAATGATGTTGACTTTGAATTCATTTATAGCAAAACGGTAGCAGATTTAAAAACGAAGTTCCCAAATCTCAAGAGAGTCTTAAAGGCTTGTTGAGTTTAGAAATGGAAAAAATAGTGCGTGAAGAAAAATTCCTTAAAGAAGAACCAGAACGGCTAGAATCGGCATTGAGACGATGTAAAAAACTTACTGGTACCCTCGTCACACTTAAACGGTTAGTGATTGAATAAGAAGTAATTAATTTTCCATAATTTTATTGATGACTACTTTGATAGATTGTTTTTATTTTTAGGTAGATTTCTTTAGAAATCTATCTATTGTAGCCGGTTTCATATGCGGCTGTATTTATGTGTGTGTGTATGTATGTAAACCTCTTATAACTTTTGAACGGCTCGGCCAATCGGAACGAAATAGGTGCACAGAAAAAAAAGTCATCTCGAGTCAAGTAATATTCACTTGATCCAAGTATATTCGACTGAAGATAAAATATATTCTTGAGTTAAGTAAATTTTTTTCTTGTTTTGGTTAATCTTGGTTTAAGCAAATATTCCCTAGTTCCAACATGCTTACCAACTTAAGTGAAGAAAAAAACCTCTTCATCCAAGTAAATCATTCTCTTGGTTTTTGAACTTGCTTGATGTACACACGGGCGTATCGAGGCCCGAGTAGGACAGCAGCCGTGCGGAAACCCATTTTCAACATTAAATAAAAATTATTGTTTATGGAGCTAGAGTTCCGGGAGTCGAGACTTTTTTTCAGAAATTTCCTCCTCTTCAAGGATCTTTTTTCTGATTGTCGATATCATTTATAGTTATTGAGTTATTAACGCAAAAAATTTCTAACCGTGTACTTTGTATGACTCGAGCGAATACTTATTATACAAATATTTTCGTCACTACACACTTAACTGTAAATCAGTAATATAATGGGAAATAAGCAATTAAAAATTAATCAAAAATGACTAATTAAATGAACACAAAAAATAAAAATCATGCATAAGGTTATTTTCTTAAATTTAATTTTTTATTGAAAAAATCTCGGTTTAGTTCCAAAAAACCACGTCGCCAACGTTGTCGCTACTTTCCAAACCAAGAGAAAGATTTACTTAGGATAAGTATAGGACATTATTAGTTCAAGAATAAACAAGAACTTGAAACAAGAAGTAAATTTTGAAGAAAAAGATTTTCTTGAGTCAAGATGACTTTTTTTTCTGTGCGCGGAATATCTAAAAAAATCTAGTAGTACACAGTAAAAAATTTTTATGTTTAATATTCAACACTTTTTTGTGTTAATTTGACAGAATCAATATTAAATTTACACATAAAAGTGTTAAATATTTTATACAAAAATGTTTAACACTCAAGATGACTTTTTTTTCTGTGTGGCGATCCAGGAGTATCATTGCCATTAAATTTTGTGAAAATTTAAATTGATTCGGTTCGATAGATTTTGAGTAATCTCAAGAATAAAATTTTCAAAAAATCATTTTTTTGGAATAACTTCTAAACGGCTCCACTGATCAATTCTAAAAACTAATCTGCTTTTGAGTTTGAAAAACCATGTCGATTGCCACCAAGAACGTGAAAATTGGTTGATTGGTTCATGATAGTCCACTGACTGTACTCTTACCCGTTCCTCAATGTAATTTTTTAGGGCATATTTTATAATCAATTAAATGTAAAAAAATGCGTAGATCACGAAAATCATAATTAGAAATCATAATTTTAACGGGTTTTTTAAATAAATAATAAAATAACATTCGACATGCCGAGACCCCGTCTATTTTTACAAAAAAACTTGCATATATTTATGTAAAGCCCCAATAATTTTGGTATTATATTAAAGAGCGAAAAATTCTGAACGGGAAAAGTCAAAAACAAACCGTCCACAGTTAATAATGGTCGCGAAAATAATTATTAAAATTTAAAAAAAATTGTATGTTTACATTCAAACACGCGGTCGGTAAAATCACGACAGAAATTGAGGTTGTGTGCGCGCGCAGACCGGGCGTAGTGGTTTTCACTTACAGCAATTTAAAATATTCTTGACATTCTCAATAACAAAATGCAATAAACAAAAAATTTAATTTAAAGTGATTACAATTTTATTTAACAAAATAAATAGAAATTTTATACTTACGGTTTTATCAGCTTGAATTAAAATTTTTATTCATTGCATTTTGTAATTGAGAATGTCAAGAATATTTTAAATTGCCGTAAATGAAAACCACTGCGCCCGGTCTGCGCGCGCACACAACCTCAATTTCTGTCATGATTTTACCGACCGCGTGTTTGAATTTAAACATTAAATTTTTTTTAAATTTTAATAATTATTTTCAGAATTTTTCGCTCTTTAATACAATACCAACATTATTGGGGCTTTACATAAATATATGCAAGTTTTTTTTGTAAAAATAGACAGGGTCTTGGCATGTCAAATGTTATTTTATTACTTATTTAAAAAACCCGTTAAAATTATGATTTCTAATTATGATTTTCGTGATCTACGCATTTTTTTACTTTTAATTGATAGTAAAATATGCCCTAAAAAATTTCATTGAGCAACGGATATGAGTAGTCAGTGGACTATGAGTTATCGTTGTCGAAAAAATTAGGAATAAGTGGATTTTTCAAATTTCTTTAAGATTTTCGGTTCGATCAAATTTTGTTCAAAAGTATATCATAGAATTGAAAAAACTGCGTGCAATACTTCAAACCGCGTGAAAATCAGTTCATTTATTCAGAAATTATTGCAGTTTGAAAATTCAAAAAATACGGTTTTATCACTTGAAAAGCTCAAAAGCTTAGAACAGCTAACTCTATGAGCTCGGAGAGCTCAAAATAACAGACAAATAATATTTTTGAGCTCGAAGAGCTCAAAAATGTCATAAGTGCAATTTTAAGGGCTTAGATATGTAATTGGCGGGAAGTTGCAGGGATGGCCTTTAGGGTCAACCGTTTTCCAAATTTTTAACTTCCCGCTAAGAAAATCGAAGATTTTCTAAAATCAGGAAGTTATTGTTTTGACCCCGTTTCGCAAAAATTGAGTTTTCATCAGAACTCGACGTTTGAAGGTCACAGGAAGCTTCCCTTCCCTGACTATCCCTCCGAGGTTGTCACCTCCCTGACTATCACCCCGAGGTTGTATGTATGTATGTATGTATGTGTGTGTGTGTGTGTGTGTGTGTGTGTCTGTTTTTTTATTTTTTATAGAGGAGGTAAAATACATTTACGTATGCCAGGGCTTGGTGTTGTTGCCAGGACTAGGTGTTGGTGCCTGGGTATGTCGGACTCGAAAGTCAATATTTGCAACAATACCGACTAAACATCCTCCTCTCTCCTTTTCCTATAGATGTTACAGGGATGACTGGAACGGGACCGCGTTAGCATTACTTCAATCCAGTCCATGTTGTGTCTCATGACACCTACTTCTTGTTAATACTGGTTTCTAATCCCTTTCTGCGATTTTTTCTTTTAAAAAACGCTGCGCGTAGGCTGCGACAGCTGACCAGTTTTCTTCTTTTTTTATCATGCAGGTTACCAAGCTCTCAGGGGAGAGCGTGGTGCCTATTGTTTCTTCGGTGCTGGTTCTGGCGTCCTTCCACCGATCACACTCGAAAAACGTGTGTTCGGCGTTGTCAATTTTGTCTGGGCAGTATTTGCAAGTTGGTGTGCTGTGCAAACCCATCTTGAAAAGATAAGCATTGAACTGCCCATGTCCCGTCAATAGCTGGGTCAGGAAGAAGTCCGTATCCCCGTGCTTCCGAGAAAGCCAGACGTTGATGTTTGGGATCAGGCGCGCCGTCCATCTGCCCGTCTCTCCCGATGTCCATCAGTCCTGCCACTCTTGCTGCATTTCCACCTTTATCCTCGTTCTTGCGTCCTTCATGTTTTCGTCACTGATTTTAGCGTCATAGAGTTTTGCTCTTTCGAACGCTAATAGGTCGATGGGCGCGGCTCCTGCAATGACCAATACAGCCGCTTCGGAAACTGTGCGATAGGCGCAGGCAACCCTGAGAGCGCCTCGCCGCTGTACTGCTGCTATCTTTCGCCGGTAGGTCTTCTACTTTAATATGTCTGCCCATATCTCTGCTCCATAAAGCAGTACCGAGTGGACTGCTTCTAGAAGAACTCTTCTCTTTTTTGTTCTTGGTCCCATGGTGTTGGTCATAATTCGTGCTAGGGTAGACACAGTCTTGCTGGCTTTCTTGCATGCACTGTCGAAGTGTTCACGGAAAGATAGTTTCTCGTCTATCATTACCCCTAGATAGCGCAGGGCCCTTGTTGACGTGAGTGTTGTACCTCCCATGTCTATAGCGAATGGTTTTGGGAACCATTTTTGGCGAGTCAGAACGACCATCTCGGTTTTGTGCTTGGCGAGTTTCAGGTGGTATTTATCGAGCCAAGTCTCGACAGCATCATTGGTTTCCCGAACTAGTAGTTCGGCCTCCTCTACGCTGTCTACTATTATCGTGGCCGCGACGTCGTCTGCAAAGCCCGTTAGCTCCACTTACTTTGGCAACGGGATTTCAAGAAGCTCGTCGTAGTCCGCGTTCCATAGATCGGGCCCCATTATTGAGCCTTGCGGCACGCCAGCCGTTATGGCGTATTCTTGTGGGCCTTCCGTGGTTTCTGCTATTAGCTTTCTTTCGTCAAGGTAGTTGTCAACTAGTGCCAGATTTTCCGGTTCTACGTCAAATCTGTGCTCCAGGGCGTCCAAAATATCTCTCTAATTTGCGCTGTTAAAGGCATTTCTAATGTCTAGCGTGAGGACAAGACACACCTTGCGGGCTTTGAGGCTACCAGTCCATTCTTCTCTCGCTGTCCTTATGACTTTCTGTATCGCGCCTACTGTTGAACGTCCTTTCCGGAAGCCATGTTGGTTCGCGGCAAAACCTCCGGCATGGTCTATGTCGTTGCGAAGTCTCCCTTGTATGAGCTCCTCGAGCAGTTTTCCAGCAATATACAGCATACAGAGTGGTCCAAACGACGAAGGCGTTATGGGGGTTCCCTTACCTTTGTCTAAGAGAACCAATCCCTGCCGTTTCCAGACCGTGGGAAACGTACCAGTTGCCAAGCATGC